CAAGATATCAAAACACAAAATGTGCTCTACCAAATGGTGGCACTGGCTGTTAAAGGTTAAGACAGCATCATCATAAGAGGCCAACAAGAGTGACAGGGTGTGTCACTTTGCTGATGGATAGACCAGCTATGCAGGATATTCTCTGAAGATTTCCCAAGGGGTAAAAGCTGCTGCTGGAGTACTGACTGGAAGTAGTGCTGATATCATGTCTACCATATCCTCTTAAAATACTCTGTCCAACAATATAAGTCGAATGACACATTTTTATTTAAGATGCATTCTTGTACTAAGGGGGGGGAATTTGAAAAAGAATACCTGAAAAAGTACTTGTTGGTGTAGTTAAATTAGTATACTGAGTCAAACAGTAGGCTATCACTCTCATTAAGAATTGATGGCAGAACATCATTTTATCTCTCATCAAAGATAGCAGAAAACATGCATTATTGTACTCAAGAGGGGAGTTTGACAGAGTACACAGTAAACGTACTCTAAATAGTATTTGGGTCATTCCAGAATTGGAGGACAATTTAGACACCAACATTTTTGAAAAATGAACCTTTCATTTTATTATTTTTTGTTATGTATTTAGGAAAAACAGATAATAAACCATAAAAAAAAGTGATTTGCCCAGCTAAGGCATCAAATGTATATTTTCCAATGGAGAATTAACCCTGTTACTCTAATTATAGTAACAGGGTTGCAAGTAACAGGGTTGAAAATCAATGCTAATTTTAGCTTTTACCTCAGGAATTAATGCTAGCTGCACAATGTAATGCTATTGTCAAGGAATGGACACACTTAGATATTTAACTAAAGAAAGATACATTTGAAATTAATTTGAGTAACAGGGTTGCGTTTGTATGAGTGCCACACTCCTTCAAGAGTGACAAGATTGGAAATATATTACAAATAAAAGAGAGGACTTAGTTTTGGTCTACCCATGGTAGTAGCACATGGCTTGCTGATGTCCTTTCCACTGTGTCATGCGACAAACAGTTTTTTCACTTCCTCTGCCAAGCTAAAAAGGTTTCGGTAACAGGGTTGCGCGCATGTTGAGGGACACACCTTCTGTGCAAAATTACTGTTATTTAAAATGTGTTTATGATTTAACAAATTGATTTTACCATTACAAGACACATATATCAATAGAATAATACCAAAAAAGTAAATAAAAACCCTATTTTAAATGTTATAGTTGACATGCAAGTTGGTCACCAAGAAGCTGGGACAAGAGAAAAGGGCGATTTTAGGGGGTGTTCGAGAGCTATTTGATATTTTAAATAATATTTTGAAACCACTTTTTCTACAACTTTATATGCATCTTGTCTCAAGACATGTATATTTAACACAACAAGTGCATGTCTTAGCTTTTTGGGCATGGATTATTAGATTTTTTATATGGGGGACATGAAATGTCCTCCAATTCTGGAATGACCCATTTATCAATCCTCAACCTCCAAGCTATTTTAATATAGATTTGAAGAAAAAAACCTCGATGCTGACTTGACCACGCAAACGGGAAATACGGCCGCATCAATTCAGCAGTGTCAGTAACATCAAACAGAGAGGTACTCATACTTTATTTATAAGATAGGGATTCATGGCTGACAGTGCAAGACAGACAGCCAGATAGACAGATCGCGAGACAGACAGACAGACAGACCAACAGACCAACAGACGCGCAAACACATACGCACCCACACACGGACAGACTGTCTTCTGTATGTTTTGCATGTAGCCATATATTCAATGTATATTCGTGCAAACACGCACTGCACTGTCTAGGCAAAGAGTATGAACCTTTATTTTGAAGAGTACAGCGCAAGCATAGGGCAAACTAGCCAATCAGAAGCAAGGAGGCACTGGAGACCCACCCACCTATGGAAACGAAACATTGGTATACTTGTTTTAACAGTAAGAACAGAAAAACGAAAAAACGAGCTGAATTTCCGTTTTTTGGTTTTGGGGCAAAATTGAAAAACAAAAAAACGACCCGTTTCTGTTTTATTATTAGTTTCAATTAGAACTAAAAAACAAACGGTTAAAACGTACCTTGGTCGTATACAATAGCTTACTACAAAAACATACATCTGAAAAACTATTTCTATTTAGACTCATTGATTAATTATTTTGATAAAAAAAAAAAATGAATAAAAGAGTATTTTGGGTAAATCCAGCGCCATAGAGAGAGTTACGACAGCGGAAGTCCAAAATGCTTGATCGTCACGTGGTTCAGGCAAGCCCCCAGGAAGTGCGCCGGACTCAGATGAAAATATTCGTGCTGGCCAAACGGCGGTACTACACTTCCTTTTGGTTGCCAGGCCCGGAAACACTTTTTCCCATTGACTTACATGGGGAAAGAGTGGTCTGTAAATCGTTGGATAATTTGTTTTAAACTAAATAAACTACCCAGTATGAACACTTTTGTATAGCCCTTATTAAAAACATTCGTTCCTCAAGTTGTAAAAATGTGCTAATAACGTTATTCTGTGAGTTATTTCCCTCTGCATCTATGTATATACTCGCATTTTAGACTCTGTTACTAACTGTATATCTGTAGACTTGGTATGTCTTAAATGTCCGGTTAGGATGTATTAGAACGAAATCTAAAATGAAAATTGTAAATAAGCCATCTGTATGTAAAAAACCACCTGTATGTAAATTGTAAATAAGCCATCTGTATGTCAAATATGTCTTATATGTCTTAAATGATATGATGAATTGGAAATGGGGGACCCTGATGTAAACAAGACGAAAGTCTTTCTCTGGTCTGCATCCCCTTAACAATTGTATGTTTTGAGCTGTACTGTACTGTACCCAATATACAAGCTGTTAATAAACTTTTCAATCAATCAATCAACGTGCATCTAACCCACGGGACCGCGCCGCCCGGCACGTTCATGTTACGTGTTCAGCACTACATGCGTTTATCTCATAGACTGTATATATAAAGGTTTATCTTTACCCATGGATGCACATCCACAATAAGAACAGACCCATATCGCCTTACTGCCAGCCCACGGAGCTGTAATAATGGATATATTGCACATGTTTGCTGTAATTCATCATTTGTAAAATATTATACTACATGGGCTGTATGATTAAATCTTGTACCGTAAATGTTGTATTAAATAAAGTTAATATTACCGACGTAGATTAACGTCCCTGTAGCTTCTTATTGCACTAAGAAGCTTATTGCACTGTATATATATATATATATATATATATATATATATATATATATATACAGTGCAATAATTCTTTCATGCTAAATGAAGCTCTGTTGCTTGGATATCACTAGATCCTGTTACAGTGTAATATAAAAGTACATAACGATTGATGTGTAAATTAGCATAATTACTAGCTAACCGCTAGCTGCTAACTGCCGCCTCGTTAATATCAAATCTATCATAATAACAAACCATTACCATGCTGTCATGAACGTGCGGTGCTGTTACGTGTACGCAAATTCACGTGCTTGATGTGAACGAGCATTTTGGGGGGCATGGTTAAAGTTGCGCATGCGCTATGAGCGCACATACGGGTACTTCTCAGGCATGCCGGGTAATCTGTGACGTTTCGCTCTCTCAAAAGTTGGGCCATTTTATCATCATGCGCGAATGAGCAACTCTCATAGGAATGAATGAGGCCCCGCCTCCCACGCTGTATCCAGTTCTTATTATACATCCATGGAGTGAACGGAGATGTCGTAACTCTTCTATTATACGGCTCTGGGTAAATCCATTGTTCTTTCCTGTGATATGTTGGACATACTTTGAAAAGGGTAGGGCAACATATCTCTGACGTGCAATTTATTTGGTGGATTAGTTAATGAACAATAGTTTCACCTGACCCACGTCACGAATCATCTGAAACAGGCACTGTCCCAGTATGTACTTTTCACTGTCTCAATATGTACTTTGAAGACTAACGTGAATACTTTGTTTCTGTACTTTTTTGGGAGTACAGTAGTAGTTAAAAGAAGGAATTCTTTATTCTTTGTTATACATTATACGTAACACAGGAAATACACACATGATAGCAAATTATTCAACTTGTCTTTAATTCTCAGAATATTCTTTTCTGATAGAGAATTATTTGACAAGTCTTTAAATCTCAAAAAAGTATTGACCCAGCCCCACACTAAGGTAGCATGAGAGAGAAAGATTCAGAATTGGCTTTGACCTTATTTCTCTATTGTTGGATTTATATACCAAAACACCAAAGGCAAGTTCCTGAACACGTGAAAAGATCTTGGCAATAAACCTCTTTCTTATTCTGATAATTTCCTTATGGAAAATGATTTCCTGATCAAAACATTTCCATTCACACAACAGAATAATTTAACTTTGTTTATTTACTCAGTTACTGTACTTACAGTAAGTACTAATTGGAGGTGCTACTTGGAGTATTTTGACTTTATTGTACTTTTTTATTCAATTTTGGGGGCAAATGTTGTATTTATTTTACAACTTTAGTAACTAGTTACTTTGCAGAGATAGAACATTATTACAAAACATTTTTGTATTAATAACACAAACATTTTAGAATAATGCTGTCCTTTTTCTTGACTACAAATTAAAGTATTTTTTACACTGTAGTAATGCTAGCCTATAAAGCTCTAGGTCCTTTTTTTCCCACCTCTGATTTAAGCCTATGGCCACCATTCTATCTGTTTGTGAAACCTTTTGTACACACAGTTTGTGAAGTTTGTACTAACGTGTATCTTGTTCTACTAAACACCTTCGATTTAACGTGACAAAAGTGTACAAAGTATAAAGGTTTTTCCCTGTAATTCAGATTACCATACACTCCCTCACAGCCCATAGGCTCTCTATGCATTTTCTCAGTCTGTGTGGTGGCGAGATTAGGCGTCCTCGCGCTGGCCCCGCCCCTTTACGGCTGTCGCCTAGGAAACGGGGCGTGGAAAACACGCTGGTGAAGCAGGTCACCGACGTGATTGGCTGCATTGTCGGATGATGCAGTAGCGTGCCATCGTTCCATCGGTCCTGTGAGCTGCAGGGGAGACGCTCACTCCGTGTGTCAGTGAGTCTGAGCGGCTGTCTGTGCTCCGGGGGTCTGGGCTGTCTCAACTATCACTCTCCAACCACCGAAGGTAAGGCAGACTCTTTACTCAATTCAAATAGCTTTATTAGCACGACCAAACTGTATTGCCAAAGCTATGTACACTACATTGCGACATCTATACATAGATATTTAAAACGAACTGTTACATTCATAAACATTTTTGAACAAATGCAAGAATAACATGTTTTCTTTACAAGGAACACAAGGAATACAAGAACAAATACCTTTCGAAATAAGAAAACATAATAGAAAAAGTTATGTGAGTTAGTGATTATTGTGCAGGATCATGCTGATAGTCAATTCATAATACATTAATGATAAATACTAAATAATAATTAAAATAAGTAAGATGTAAGCATGAATCAGTTTAGGTTAACCAGGGCTTGGAGTGTTACTTGAAAATCGTATTCCGTTAAAAGTAGTTTTTAAATCAGAAAACTAATCTAAGTATCACAATAGGAAAGTAATGTAACCTGATCACTTTCAGATACTTCTGTATTACCTTAATATCAAATGCAATGCAATGGCTTGATATTTGACTGTTTATTAAGTTAGACTGTTTATTAAGTAAAAAATGTAGAGTGTTTTGTTTTAAAGCAACTCCTGCCTTTTATTTTATTATTTTATTCAGTCTAACCATAAAAGTGCACAACACATGACCACATACTGTACAGTTTAAAAAAGCTAAAATAAAATCTGAACAAAAGCTACGTTTTCGATTTTAAACAGTGGATTAAGCTCATTTACACTATTTTATGAACATATAGGTTGACCTACTCAATCTGAAAAATAACAAATGAACCAAAGAAGGTGAAAACCATAAATACAATTCCGGCAGTAGTGTAGAAAATGGCCTCACTGTATGGATTTGAAGTATTTTTTTACAAACCAGGTGTCCAAAAAGAAGAAAATCAGCAAAAGCAGGCAATGTGACATTTTAGTCTAGGCCTACAATATAGTATACACTCTAAGAAGTGACGCATCACAAATGTATGTGTAATATGGAAACCATTTGTAAACACTAGCTGTGTTACACGCCTTAACACATGAACACGTAATTACTGCCCAATGCGTGTCATACATGTGAAACAACGATGAACACATTATTGTGCTATTTCTGCACATTGTGCTTTAACTACTTTTAAATAATTACCAGGTGGCTGTAATGTTTTATTTCAATAGCAATCAAAAGCAGTAATACATTTGTTATCCATTTATGTATAAAGATTTAATTGGAAATGTTTTACTTTTTTTAAATATCATTAATTATTTGTTTTATGGCTGCTGAATGTCATAGAGTAAACTGACTAATTTACACATTTGATGGATATGTCATATTATATTCAATGCATACAAATAAAAGTACAGAACAACTCATAAACTGTACAACAGTTAAGTTTTCCTTTTATTCTTTAATTCTCTGCCTTAAAATAAATACAGTATATTTTTATGTAACGTTTAATTTTTGCTAGGCTATTTATGTGAAAGTAAAAAAATGATAAAATATAGATAATAAATGATAAAATAAATACAAGATAGCCAATTCATAAAGCAGAATGTTCCTTTTAATGATATGTATTGTTATCTGCAGTTTACCTGGATTATCATTATTAATATCAATGCATTTACAGGAGGTGCTGCCAATTTAACTATATACCATGGATGATTTATAAATATATTTGAATGTATCATTATTATCATCACTTCTAATTATTGATGTTTGGTTATGGTTGTGTTTCCGATGATTACGGATCTGAGCTGCTCATCACTCCTTCCTCCTGGCTAACATGACTGTACTTGTGTTATTTGCTAGCTCTGCTGCACCATGCTGACCCGTCTGTTCCGTATGCACGGCCTCCTGGTGGCCTCCCACCCCTGGGAGGTGATCGTTGGCACAGTCACCCTCACTATCTGTATGATGTCCATGAACATGTTCACTGGCAACGACCAAATCTGTGGCTGGAACTTTGACTGCCCCAAAACAGAGGAGGTGAGTGAGATGATCAAGAACATTAGCATTATTTTTATCCACCCCATAAAAACATTAAGCATTACATTGATGCACATCATGCAAACAATATATTGTTCTATTTAATATTGTAAATCCTGCACAACCTTTTCAACATGTTGCACATTTCTGCTACACACCTCTCTTTAAAATCTGCACAGCTCTACATTTTGAATATAGTTTTTGTCATATTTTATTATATTTTACTGTACCCAGGTTTTCTCATAATTATATGTTGTGTAATTATTGTCTTTATTTCTAATTTGTAACAATAGTCTTAAAATAGTTATTTTAAATAACTTTTATAAAAGTACTGTTTTGTGCTACATGTTTGTCTTTCTGTGTCTCGGTATGCACCATTTATACCAAAGTAAATTCCTTGTATGTGTAAATCTATTCTGATTCTGATTCTGAATATGTCCGTTATCTTTGGCAGTTGATCCACCACACAATGGAGAGTAGGACACCAACCTAGTTTGAATAAGCACTTGCATGACTCATGACTAATAGCTATAAATCCCACAAAACATGCAGCATTTTTCAGAATCAGAATCAGAAACAGGTTTATTACCAGGTAGGTTGACACGTACGAGGAATTTGACTTGATGTCATGGTGCATACATAAAAGTAAAACAAAAATGTAAAACACAGATAGAGAACTAAAAAAAATATAAAAAATAATGAAAAATATAGTAAAATATAACATTATTTACATAGAAATGGAATGGAATAAAATATGGAATAAAAATCGGCATTAATAAAAAAAGAAAACAGATATTGTTGTACATTGTGTGCATTAATATAATGCATAGAGTCTATGATGTGGCTGAGGTAAAGTGTCAGTGGGGGGGCCGGGCCTTGTTGATGAGGCCGGTAGCGGAGGGGAAGAAACTGTTCAGGTGGCGAGAGGTTTGGTCCTGATGGAGCGCAGCCTCCTGCCAGAGGGGAGGGGGGTGAAGTCCATAACTGTAGGGATACACCATTTTGCTCCAGACTGAAATGACGGGTGGATTGCCATGAAAAGACATCCAGATAATATGTATGGTGATACTCTGATTTTTCATCGGGCACTGGTTAGCTGGCAAGCTAGCATGACAACAAGCCTCTAAGAAACATCTGTTGCAGGCTATGAAATATTCTGACACATTACCTCCCAAAACATCACATCATATTGTTTTTAAGAACAGTATGAATAAAACAAATTGAATGGGTTAATACGTGAGCTTTAGAGGTGCTGCTGTGTGGATTTTGTTTGGACAGAGCCTGTCGGCTAGCTGTTTCCTCCCTTTGTGCTAAACTAAGCTAACCAGCCTAAGGATATTTCCCAATATGTCCAACTATTCTTTTTAGTTTATCCCTTACTCAACCAGGCATTTGTTCCTCTCTCTTCACAGCAAATCCTCAGCAGTGACATCATCATCCTGACCATCACACGCTGCATCGCCATCGTTTATATTTACTTCCAGTTCCAGAACTTGAGACAACTGGGGTCAAAATATATTTTAGGTGAAGTATTTAAGGGTACACAAGATGTTTATAACATGGTGAATATGATAATGTGGATGTAATGGCGGCAGAGGAAGAAGCTAGCTATATAAATCCAGTGGTGGAAGAAGTACTCAGAATTGTAAAAGTAGCAATACTATATTTTAAAAGTATTTTGTGACAAGTAAAGTCCCTGCATTCAAAACCTTAACTAAGTAAAAGTACAAAAGTACTGGCATCAAAAATATACTCAAAGTACCAAAAGTACAAGTACTCCTTATGCGTAATGACCCATTTCAGAATCGTTCATATGGAGTTACTGGGTTTATATTATCATTATTGATGTGTTTTATCCTAACTGGTAAATGTATAGCTAATTCGAATAACTTTATATACTGCTCAAAGTTCATTTAATAATTGATTTATATTTTGTATTAGCTATTAATCTAAACCTAAAAAGTAACTAGGACAAAAGCTGTCAAATTCATTTAGAGGAGTAAAATGTACAATTTTGGCTTTCAAACTGTAGTGGAGAAGAAAAATAAAGTAACCTAGGCTGAGATACTCAGGTCAAGTAAAAGTTCCTCAAAATTGTATTTAAGTATGGTACTCTGTTACTATCCATCACTGTATATATCTACTCTAATATGTATCTCATGTACTCTCTTGCAGGCATTGCTGGTCTTTTCACCATATTCTCCAGCTTCGTATTCAGCACAGTGGTCATTCACTTCCTGGATAAAGAGCTCACGGGCCTCAAGTAAGGACAACCCTGCATCCTTTCATACATCCCCAGTATCTTTGTTCAAAAACTCAACATGACTGTTCTGTTCTGTCCTCCAGTGAGGCTTTGCCGTTCTTCCTGCTTCTCATCGACCTCTCCAAAGCATGTGCTCTCGCCAAGTTCGCCTTAAGCTCTAGTTCTCAGGTACTAAGAAATATGCACTCATCATACTCAAACATTTCACAGACAATTCAACAGTAAACTAATTTACTGTTCTATATCAGGATGAGGTGAGGGAGAACATTGCTCGTGGCATGGCAGTACTGGGACCTACCTTCACTCTGGACGCCCTGGTGGAGTGTCTAGTGATCGGAGTGGGAACTATGTCAGGTACTCGCTGCTTTCAGACTTTTTATTGTTAGTGTGACATCAGTGTTAGGTGTGGTTACTGAAGCTGAGTGAAGTCCTGCCCAGGCTGGCGGACCACTACGGGTAGTCAACAGCGATAGACAAATCATTTTTGGATCCCATATGATCCTTTGATCCATGAATTACACAGAATTGTTTTCAATTTTAGGATAATTGTGCAGTTTAGAAAGTTTGTTGTAAAACTGTCAAAGTACATGACTTTGAGAATGCGTAATTAGAAACACTTCACATCTGAAAGTTGCTTAAGTGATGTCAAGCATGATGCCTGTGTGTTATGTAGCAGGATTTAAAAAAAATAAGTAAAAAGAGAATGAAAACAATGTGTTATCCCTCGTAATAAATAAAACAAATCTGCCAATAGAACAAGTGAACATTTGTTTGGTAAGATTTCTTGAAATAACATGGGATATTAAGATAAATCGGATCTTGTAATTAGCAGAAAAACTTATTTTAAACTAAATACAAATTGTACCAGTATCAGGAAATGGTGTGTTACAAATATAATCCAAAATCGCTCAAAAGTGTTAGTAAAGATTTTTATCTGATTTTTATCTGAGATACATCTCAAATTAAGATGTTTTCAAGAGTCTTTGACATAACAAGATACTTAAGATGGATTGTCTAAAAACAGTGTGGCTGTTATAAAGCTGCCAATTTGACCTCCTACATTGTACAAACTAATGCATAGCTGTAACCTTTACCCTGCGGACACAGAGCAGATTATCTCCCGATAGCAAATGCAGAAGAGCAGCACCGTGAGCGGCCCCCACTGTATGAAGGGAGTGGTGGCTTTCTGTTTGGTCATTGAGGTGACATTGTGGCCTCTGACATGTCTCGTGTCTTCCAGGTGTGCGGCAGCTGGAAATCATGTGCTGCTTCGGCTGCATGTCGGTCCTGGCCAACTACTTTGTGTTCATGACTTTCTTCCCTGCGTGTGTCTCCCTGGTGCTGGAGGTAAGGGTGCAGTGCTGAGGTGGGAAGTAACTAAGTATTTGTACTCAAGTACTGAACTTAAGTACCATTTTGAGGTATACTTGTACTTCACTTGAGTATTTCCATGAAATGCTATTTCATACTTATACTTTACTACATTTAAAAGGGACAACATGTAATTTTACTCCACTACATTTATTTAAAGAAAATGCATCTCTATAAATTAAACTAGTGGACTAAATATTTTTAAGTCACAGTCTCTTTGAGTCCAATTATTTAAATATTTTACAAAAGTGCATCAGAACTTTATTTGTCTACAACAGTAAAATGCTACTTGATGTAACATTATTATCTAGAAATGTCACATATACAGTATAATTATAATCATATTCACACACAGTTTTTATGCACAATGATTACTTTTACTTGTTATACTTTAGCTGATAATACTATTGTACTTTTACTTAAATAAGATTTTGAATGCAGGACTTTTACTGGTACTTAAGTATTTTGACAGTAATGTATTGGTACTTTCACTCAAGTAAAGCACCTGGATACTTCTTTCAGCACTGGCGCAGTGTTCCAGTATAGGTGTGTACCTGTATGTGTTTCTGTCGGTGTGACTGATGGTGTTGTGTTTGCTCTAGTTGTCCCGTGACAGTCGGGAGGGACACCCGATCTGGCAGCTGAGCCAATTCTCCAGAGTGATGGAGGAGGAGGAGGACCACAAACCCAACCCCGTCACGCAGAGGGTCAAAATGATCATGGTAGGTCCACTGAAAAAACTGAAATGTTGACTTTAATCAAATGTATTATGTCAACAGATTTCACACAACTGTATTAGGTTAGTGGAAAGCAATAATGTGATTTGTGTGGTGTGCTGTGTGTGCAGTCTCTGGGCCTGGTGATGGTTCACGCCCACAGCCGCTGGATCGCTGAGCCCTTGTCCATCCACACCTCAGGGGGCATCCCTCAGGTGGGCATGGAGCTGGACAGCCTCTCCCCCAGGAGGATCGAGCCAGAGAAACCACTTTGGCACTTCTACCTCACCAGGTAAGGCTGGTGATGGCCATGCTTTCAACTTCATGTGCGCTGGCTAATGTACAGCAGAGACTGTATTAGGTTTGAAGTAAAGATTAAGTAAGAATGTCCAATAAAACAATTCAAAAATAGAATACAAACATTTATATTAACACATGACGTTAAAGTAAAATGTAACATGGACAAAAACAAACATTTTAAGAAAAAGTGAAGATAGTGATTAAATTACATTCTCTATTTTCTGAAGTCTTGATGTTCCTAAGTACTGTATTTCCAGATAGGGAATGATATACAACCTGTAGTAATACATTGGTTTCTGACACACCAAGACGTTTGTTAGATAAAAATAAGTTAAAGTCTTGTTATTAAAAAGACTGCAGTGTGTCAGAAGGAAAATGTGATCTTTAGTTTCTCCGCATAAAGAAAACATTAATACATACATTAATGCGAGTGTTTGCTTGGATCAGAATAAAATACGTTGTACATGTTGCTGTCTCCCCCCTGCAGGATGATCACCATGGACATAGAGCAGGTGATCTGCCTGGCTCTGGCCCTGCTGCTGGCCATCAAGTACATCTTCTTTGAGCAGGTCGAGATGGAGTCTACGCTGTCACTGAAGAACCCCATCACCATGTCCGCCCCCAGCCCCCGGCGGCGCACTGAGAGCTGCTGCAGGACAGAGCCATGCCCCCCCCGACCCCTCGCCCCCGCCCCGCCACCCGCCAACAAGGCAGAGAGAGGTGCGTCTGTGCTCAGTGGTGATGCTGTAGCGGATGGACTTGTGTGGCATGGTTGTATCTAACGCCTTGTTTCCCTAGATGAAGTGATCCGGCCCTTGTCTGCCCCGGCCGCCGACACCCAGCCTAAGAGCCACTTTGTGGTGGGGGGGGAAGAGGAGGAGCTCAAGGTTGAGAGCAATCAGCCCAGCCTCCCCGAAAAACCCAGAGACCTTGACCAATGTGTGGCCATCCTCAACAACCCTGAGGTACATTACACATAAATAATACAAATAATAATAAAGCTTTATTTGTATAGCACTTTTCATACACAGAATGCCGCTCCTAGTGCTTTTACAATATGGCACACAACGTAAGACAAACAGAAAGTAAGGCATTAACGTTAAATGTTAGCACACATGAAGCATGAGTACATGATGCAAACATGTGTTGAACTTGAACTGAAGCTCCCAGACCGCAGAGGAACACAGGGGATAGTCGTCCAGGGGGTTCAATGATCCACTCAATAAAACAGTCAAGCTTCATATTCGGAGGCCGTTGTATTTATTTGCAACTTAGCTGACTTTGGATACAGATTTATAGCTGCTGCTAGTCCCGTTCACTTCCAGACATACACTCACTCTCATCTCGCTCGCTCTCAACATGCACACTCCACACATGCACACTCCACACATATACCCCCCCCTCTCTCTCTTAAAGGGATAGGCGCCCTTACTCTGCATGACCCCCCCATAACACATGATTCCATAGAATTCTAGAAAAATACACAAAATAATAAATGCAATTAATTAATCTTGAATTTAGCAACAGATAACCATCTAAGTTAAAGTTGTGTTTCAATAAAATCACACAACGCAAGATAAACAGAAAAAATAAACTAAATTCAGCTCAGAAGTTCAAAAGTTGTTAACACACATGCAGCATACTTTATGTACGTGATATATTATATTTCAAGGAATACAAGGAGGTTAAATCGGCAAATGAAAAACAAAAATGCAGACTAAGTTGGCCTCTCTAATAAGTAGAGAGGCCAACTTAGTCGGCATTCTCTTGGTAGGATGTTCCACAGTGTAGGGGCATAACATCTGCTTCCCCAGTTTTATTTTGGGGGACATTTGAAATATTTAAAAAGCCTGCTGTTGAAGGCAATAGAGCCAGGGACACAGAATGACAGAGAATCAGTGAGATAAGAGGGTGCCAGACAATTAAATGTAAGGATTTTAAAATCAATTGTAAAATATAGATAAAAGCTACCTTTCACATCTGAAGTCTCAAACAAGTCGGGGGTTGGCTTATACTTTACCTCGGCACACCTTTAGCCCCGGTGTCTATTTCAGTCGCCACACCAATTAGACTGCAGGTTTGAGGCAGTAGTCTGATTTAAGAGCGTTGTAATAAGCTTACTCACTCCACTCTCTTTTTGAGGCTGAACCAATTAGAGCATGACGCCAATAGATAAGACACTGTTTCCTCTGGCCTGAACTCAACAACTGAACTGTGCATGTAAATGGGCTGCAAAGGCTAACATCCCATTGTAGGGAGTTCAGATATTGCTTCAATATTGATTATCTTCTAAAAACATTGTTGGTGCTTTTATGAAATTAAATATTAGGCAGTTGGTTGTAATCCATTTCTTATAAATTGTAATTGTGTAATGCAAGCCAACACTATAGCCCTATAGAACAAGCATTATGTCACACAGTTTATTGATAATTGGTGTTAAAATATGGAATGGGCTGAATCTGAAGCTCTCAATATTATTTCTCAACAGCACTTTCAATCAAAGTGTGGGTTTATTTCACTGGTATATTACACAAAAATATATTTTGGTTTATCCAATCTTAAGTAAATATAGACAGGAATGATAAGATAAGCCCCACCACCTTGCCAGCGCGTCTAATTTGAGTGACTAGTAAACACAAATGATTTCAAATTATGAATCTTCCCTCCGCGTCCAGTGTAAACACACCTTAAGTCCCTGCATGGTTGTGTTTCTACAGATGGGGGCTCGTTTCCTGAGCGATGCTGAGGTGATGCAGCTGGTCAACTCCAAACACATCCCTGCATACAAACTGGAGGCCATGATGGAGAAACCGGAGAGAGGAGTGGCCATACGCAGACAGATGTTGTCCTCCAAACTGCCCTCTCCCTCTGCACTGTCCTCCCTGCCATACACCCACTATGACTACTCCAAGGTGAAGACACACACACACACACACACACACACACACACACACACACACACACACACACACACACACACACACACACACACACACACACACACACACACACACACACACACACACACTGCTTGCTGTTTCTAGACGTTTTTCTCATTCATGTTTCTGTTTTCCAGGTGATAGGCACATGCTGCGAGAACGTGATTGGCTACATGCCCGTACCTGTGGGCGTGGCTGGACCCCTGCATCTGGATGGGAAGCAGTTCCAGGTTCCAATGGCAACCACAGAGGGTTGCTTGGTTGCCAGCACTAACCGTGGTTGTCGAGCAATCGCTGTGAGTGTCCGATTGATTGTACCAGGGCGGACAAAATAAATATTACATTTCACAATAATTTCACTTTGACAGAAATAAATGCATATTTAATGCTCATTTTGGTATAATTTCACAGATCAAGCTTTGTGAAGTTAGATTAGTTATTATTTACATATGAGTTATCGGGTACACATAGGAGTGTGCAGCCAGAATAACCACTAACAACTTACTGTATGTTTTTATTATGGCAACATTGAATTTATACACTGTGTTCACAAGAAAGATTGGTGATCTGTTCAAATGGTTTGAACATGGGAGACCCTGACTTTATGTTTTCCTGAAGAACAAAAACAAGTGATTCATTATAGCTATTTCGTTTTTGTTCAGCTGATATCAGAAGCATGACTCCTGAAAATTATATGAAAATGTAATTTCAAAAAAGAAAGTTTTTGGTTATTTCATTCAGCCTTCTCAATGTATCCTGGCTCTTCAGTCGGGGTGCGATGTGATGACTTTATGTTAATACTATGTACTGTATCTCACAGCTGGGAGGCGGAGCCAACTGTCGTATCCTGGCCGACAGCATGACGCGAGGACCCGTGGTGAGGCTGCCCTCTGCCTGCCATGCTGCGGAGGTCAAGGCCTGGCTGGAGAGCACGGACGGCTTTCAGGCCATCAAAGACGCCTTTGACAACACCAGCAGGTAAAATAGAAATACTGACATGGACATGACGAGGATCCAGAGTCTGGGCTGTGCTGTGTGTCTGCGTGTTGTCTCTGTGTGTCTGAGTGTCTGTTGCTGTTGGCAGGTTTGCTCGGCTGCAGAAGCTGCTGGTCGGTCTGGCCGGGAGGAATCTCTACATCCGCTTCCATTCCAAGACCGGGGATGCAATGGGGATGAATATGATCTCGAAGGTAACTGTTGTGGCTGTGTGGATAGTGAGCGGGTGCAATTTCATACAACCACTTAGTGTATTAAAAGTACGGAGCCCCCCAAAGACTAATGACAATTTTTTTTAAATGGTGCGCATGAGTTGAACATCCCTGACATTAGTTCATAGATCGATGCAGACTGGTTTACAGACTCTCCCTCTTTGCCGATTTATGCTGAAGAGTGTTAATTCCTCGTGGGTATGCTATACACACTGTAAATCCCTCTTAGACAAGTGTAATGTTTGATATTGGGCTAAACAAATACAATTTGATTGTATCATCAGTGCACTCCAGTGCTTAAACAGACAGCTCTACACTTCTGGCCGTAATGTCCTTTCAAATGAAGTCCGAGTTTTAAATATAACTCAATTGATGTCTTTCACTGTGTGCTCTGCATGTGTGAACATTAAAGAGGGGTTTCATCCCTCCCATTCTATTCTATTCACTGTCATTTCCACACATCAACGTAACAGTCTGCAATTAACTGGTGGTCTCCTGCACGCTCCAGCTCCTCCTGTGCGCACTGGTAACTTTGCAGGAGAAAATCACTTTTTCTCAATTCATTTTTGTTATCCATGCCCCTTAATGCGCTCCGTATAAAAGGGGTGAAAGCAACAACCCACACTTACTTAAGTACAATGTTGAGGTACTTGTCACTTAGCCTGCTAGAGCCTTTATCACCCAGCGCCCCCTGGCTGTGTGAGAAGATGTTACTCTCTTTTTAAAGGAAGCATGTTCTCCTGCAGGGTACAGAGCAGGCTCTGAGCATACTGCAGCAGCACTTCCCAGATGTGCAGGTGATAGCTGTGAGCGGGAACTACTGCACCGACAAGAAACCTGCTGCCATCAACTGGATCGAAGGCCGGGGCAAGTCTGCCGTCTGTGAGGCCACCATCCCCGCTAAAGTGGTCAGAGAGGTAGGAGGCTGCAGCTTACTGTCCGTGGTCTTTACTATATACACAGAAACGGAAATCCATTGAAGGAGACTTGAAAGTCAAGAATGAACACCTTTGAATTACCCAATGCTGCAGATTTTAAAACATAGTCCTCCACAATTACGCTGTGGGCGAGGCTTTAAATGGACCAGACATTTGTGAGTTTTTGGGTAAGATGGTGGAAGGCCTACAGTTTTCCAACTACATTATTTGACGCATCATTCTATAGTAGATGACAATAGTTTGGCACCTTGTTACTTTTGGCGCACCATTTAGCCCATTATTTTGTCACCTTATTTCTGACGATTGCCTGATCAGAATAATGAAATATGGATTTTGGATTTATTAGTTTTTTCTTGAATGTCAAAAGAAAGTTCTTGTTCAATATATCGTATATCTTCAAGTGGAACCAAACATTATTAGCCACTTCAGTAGCTTTGGTATAAGTTAAACTCTATTCATCAGAATGATCAGATCTCATATTAACTGTGTGTTGTGGCTGTGCTGCAGGTGTTGAAAACAACAACAGCAGCTCTGGTGGAGGTGAACATCAGTAAGAACCTGGTGGGCTCAGCCATGGCCGGAAGCATCGGAGGATTCAACGCACACGCATCCAACCTGGTGGCTGCCATCTACATAGCCTGTGGACAGGTAAAGAAATATCCTGCACCTGTGTATTTCCATGTCTTCTTGTGTTTCCTGTGTTAAATCTGTGTGTGTGTGTCCTCAGGATCCAGCCCAGTCAGTGGGCAGCAGTAATTGCATCACCCTGATGGAGGCGTCAGGACCGACTGGGGAGGATCTGTACATCACCTGCACCATGCCCTCCATAGAGCTGGGGACTGTAGGGGGAGGAACCAGCCTGCCCCCCCAGCAAGCCTGCCTCCGGGTACACACACACACACACACACACACACACACACACACACACACACACACACACACACACACACACACACACACCACACACACACACACACACACACACACACACACACACACACACACACACACACACACACACACACACACACACACACATCTCAGCTAAAGTATTGATGATATCAGGACAGCAGAAAGTCTACATCTTCTCACCCAGAAGGTCTCACCTCACCTCAAATGCACCTTTGCAAAAAAGAAAAGACAGAAAGAAAAATTCTCACTTCCTTACACAGAGCTTAGAAAGGTTTGGTTTATTTGATTTAATATCATATTTTTAAAATAATTTCATATTCTTATATGTTATTTTATCTTAAAGGTAGGGTAGGTAAGTTTGAGAAACCGGCTCGAGATACACTTTTTGTTATATTCCATGGAATGCTCTTAACACCCCGATAGCAATGAATATCTTAAGTGCTTTGACAACAAATCCATAAAAAAAAGTCATACTGTAAAAAGTACGACCAATCATTTTAGCCGGGCCGGCTAAAATGATTGGATGGCCTACCTGCCTGTCAGCCTTCCATCTGTGCACAAACTTATCTCGTGCCCTCATTGGTCATGTGCGCGTTTGTGTGTGTTGGAGGAGGGGCTCTGTAAGGAAGTGGCAGATTTTCTCCGGTTGTGTATTTTCAAATTCTAGCGATATCGAGCCAGTTTCTCAAACTTACCTACCCTACCTTTAATTGAACATATTATTTTTATTTCTGTTGTTCATACATCATATTTTACCTTAATTGCAAAATGTTTCCCTATGTTTATATGATATATTTTCTTTTATTCTATTTTATTCATTCGAAATGGAACAAACGTCAAAAAAACAACTTCCCCCTGGGATTGTTAAATTATTTCTTATTCGACACCAATGCAGTATTACCTTTGAGAACTTAAGAAAATGAATGTGAAAAGCATATATCACAATATTTTAAGCTAATTTGCTTCATGTGTTTGTGTGTGTGCAGATGCTGGGCGTGCAGGGCGCCAGTCTGGACTGTCCCGGGGAGAACGCGCGGCAGTTGGCGCGGGTAGTGTGTGCCACCGTGCTGGCTGGAGAGCTCTCACTGATGTCTGCTCTCGCTGCAGGCCACCTGGTCAAGAGTCACATGACACACAACAGGTGAGAGCGACCAACCCTCATTCACACATTTACATGATTCCTCTATGTCTACACAAACAGCAGAAAGATAAGCAAAAGAAAAATGTTTCTATCACTACTAAGAACTGGTTTTAGTGAGCTCAGAGAACTTGGTCCCCATCAGTGTTAGCATCACTACGTAAATAACACCACAGCTGCTGATAATTGGAAACATCTTTGTTGAAAGAGACAACAAATGTAAAGGCTTGCCAACTTTGTGTTTGTCGCTGTTTGTGCATCAGAGTTACAAGCTAGCACATCTGTTGCTGATTAACACACTAGCTAGCTTGTTAGGTATGATTATTATTATTATTATGTAGGTAAGCAACATTTATTCATCAATTAATCTTTCTTCAGTGACAACATACACGTGTATGTTTCTGTGAAGACACGGAAAGGAACTGAAAAGATTGTTCACTTTCTTTTTGTTTACAGGGACATTTATATATACATGGTGTTTAGTGGCATTTCAAACTACAACCAATTTTTGGGATTGTAGGATTTGAGACAGCCGCGACGCTCTAATTCTTGTGTTCCAGGTCGATTTATTTATTGCAGGCTTGGGTCCTGGTCTGCAAGGTCTCAATAATATAAACTAACGTGGGACAAGGCAACTACCTTTTCTTAGCATAGTTAAACCTTTGAATACATGTTTTTTAAGAGCACATACATGTTTCACTTTGCACAGCATTAGCACAGCCATAGCTTAATTGCAATAGATAGAAATGTAAGTGAAGAATGTACAACCAGTGTGTATTCACCATACATCATGATGAATCTGACCTGACTGCTGTCTGTGTCTGCAGATCCAAAGTGAACCTACAGGAGCCAGGGACGTGCACAAAGAAAGCCTCCTGAGAGCCTCCTGCATTGAGCCCAGGTCACAGGACAGAGCAGTAAATATGGACAATATGGAAGAGAACAATTATTCATTATTCATCGAATCAGAGCTCAGCTGTCTTTCAAGGGCTTTCAACGAAACACTGGAGTGTCTTTGGACCAATCTCTATGCTGGATATGATGCTAATCAGACTCTTCGGTGGAAATATTTCATTTTCTGTATCTGTGTGTGTTTATGGGGCTGGCTTCTTTTATTCCCACATGTACAGTAAGAATGCTGTCTAGCTGTTCTGCTTCAAATGTTTCTGCTGTCCTGTTGCCAAATGAAGCAGTGTGAAACAGACACAGGGAATGTTTGTGACTGCTGAATGTGCATGGGAACACATGACCAGACTGAATATAATGAATCATACAGTGTCACAGTTTTCAGCCCATACAGTTCTGTGAACCATGCAGACAGAATAACCATAACAGACTCAAGAAGGAATGAATAAGGGAACATATGAATAATTAATTATCTGGATCCAAGAGGCACTCTAAAAGTATGATTGCAAACCTCACTTAAGGCTGACTTCCTCTCACAACAGGTGGGGTCCCAATCAAAGAATCATTTAATCATCAGCCCCTTCCTGTTGGGATCATACATTCTAATTACCATAAGGAAACAAATTCTCAACCCACCCGCAGTGCATTTCCTGTCACAAAAAAAGGACTGAAGAACAGTGTTCTTATGTGTGATGCAAACCATCGCATCAGGGGTGTCCAAACTAGTTTTAGCTGAGGGCCACATACAGAAAAATATAAAAAAAGTACATTTATAAGAAATGACTGAATTTATTTGAAAAGGAAAAAAAGTTGGCCCCCGGGTCATAGTTTGGACACCCCTGATCTACAGAAAGTGACAGACTCTTCCATTCGGTTGCATTTTGAAGTGCATTAGCATGCAGCGCTGATGCTTCAGAGGGTAATGTATGCAGCTGTGGAGCGGGTTAAATGAATGCAGTTATAGTGAGTCTCCTGTGAAAGCAGTGGAAGGCAAACATTTTGGATATATTTTGTAATAAATACAAAAGGACTTAAACAACGACAACATTGTACTGTTTTGATTAATGCTTTGTCAGGAATTGGAATATGGAACACGTCGCTGAAGAGCTGAGGTTCATGTCTGCAGTTTTTCCGTCTAGTTTGTATGACATCTTGAAGTGTGTTGCATGTACAGTAAAGCTGCAACGTGGCATGGCTCTGTTTCACTGTTCATAGATGGTTTTATCAGCAGACATTTAGTAATAGAAACATTAGCGGGCACGTTGAAAAGCAAGCACCTGCGCACTGATCTGCAACAGGTTCACTGTGCTGCCATATAAATAACATTATTATTATTGTGATGAAAAGGGTTAAATCTTGGAGCAAAGCACTGGAACACAAGGAGTACACAGGAGAGCTTCAAACTGATGTCAGACACTGAAGACTAATTTGAAGTTACAGCCAGCAAGTTGACATTTGCTAAGAACCAACACTAAAGTGCTCCTTCTCCCCACAGAGAGTCAGTAATCAGACATTCCATCAGAGGACATAACCAGTTAGGTTTGTTGCAGAGGAGCCGGCTCCAGAAGGCCTCGGTCTGATCCGGTTTACTCTCTGACTTATCCTTATCTGAAGGAGAAGACGTTTACAACCTTGCTTCATGCATACTAAGAAGTAACACAGCTGATGAAGAGAGCCTGAGAAAACAAGTGCCAGCTTATCTCCAAACAATAGGGCCCGAGGCCGAATGCCTGCTGCCTGTACAGACAGAGAAACATGAAATCAGGCAAGGATAGAAGAGGAGAATTGATGAGAGACAAGTAAAATAATTATAAATTATTATCATTATTATTTTATAAAATGAAAATGTATATTGTGTGTGTGTATTGTTATTGTATATAAAGTATACTATATACAATTTGCAAGAATGGGACACACTGTTAAACAACTTCCGTTGGTTATGTTCAATTCAACTTTCCTTTAAATGAGTTTTTTGCATGATTTAACTAATCTATTACAAATGACATATTATTTATATGGAACAAAAAAAATTGAATCACATTGTATTCCTTGGGAAAATGGTCCGCAGAAGTGCAACTGAGATTATTTTCATGAATCACATTTAACCATTAGTCATAAATGTGATGCAGGAGTCTCCAGATTGACTTCCAGCAGGTATGAGGGTCTGAGGTGTGACTGTATGAACCAATGGACGCTGCTGGGGCACAGATCAAAGTAATCAATGAGTGACAGGTGTAGGTTAGTCCTCTCCTGATGAGCTTACACCACTTGAACTTTCTCCCCTTTTACCCACATCCTATCCAATGGATCTGCTGAGCACTCAGAGATCCTCCACTGATCTCACAGTGCTCGGCCCTCACCAGAGAAGCTCCAGCCAATCAGAGGAGGGCTAACACATCTCACCAGCTGTGAGCGCACTGATTGGCTAAACCCCGGCTGCAGATTCAACAATAATGGTGTCTGCAGTTACATAACAGGTCGAGCAGCTCTATGCTCCTCCCTCTCACACAACTACATGAATCAGCACCTGGGACACAGCAAGCATGCAGTATTTCATGAATTATTATAATTTAGGATGTAAGAATGCAAAGATTGAAAATGTTAAACGCTACTAGAACTAACGCATTTATGTTATTTAACATTACTGACAAATTAAGCATGCTTTTGTATTGTTCACACTGGTGAGGCCTAGTCACCAGGGCATCCCAAAAACATGAACAGATGTTTGTGGCTCCACAGATACTGCTGAAATTAAAATGTCAGAGTTTTAGCAATGTTGGCTTAAAACACAACATGCAGAGTAATCACAAAATTATCTTTGCGTCATTCATAAAGACAACTCTAGGTGGTTACATGCACATGATTTTGTATCTGAGTGTTTGATAAAAAATTGAAATGAGCAGCACTCAGTTTGTTTGTTTGTTTGTAGCCTTTATTTAACCAGGTTTAAAAATCCCATTGAGATCAACAATCTCTTTTTCAAGGGAGACCTGCGGTACATTAGTTACACATAAAAACAACAGAAAACAAAAAGGACATCACAACATAATTACAGGGGTATAAATTAGCAACCAATTCACAGTGACAGGTATCCAATACCATTTCATCCAGCCGTGCTTTAAAATGATGCAAGGGAATCAAAATGCTCAGTTTCAATGTGTTTTGCATAGTGTTCCAAGCTAGAGGAGCAGCGCACATAAAAGCTTTAATACCTAAAACAGTCCTAGCACTTGGCACATGTAATAAAAACACATCCTGGGATCTCAGGCAATAGCTACTTGCCACTCTCTGTGAGATCAAAGAGCAGATATAAGATGGGAGTTTACCCAACATGGCTTTCTATATGAACATGTACCAATGACTGAGCCTCCGAACAGTAAGTGAAGGCAGACCTGCCTTGGTATACAGGGTACAGTGATGAGTAAGTGCTTTACAGTTAGTAACAAATCTCAGAGCACTGTGATAGGTGGCATCTAACCTTTCCAGGCAATGGGCAGGTGCATTCATATAGATCAAATCACCATAGTCCAGCACAGGTAAAAAGGTCACAGAGACTAGCCTTTTCCTGGCTTCAAAAGAGAAACAGGACTTGTTTCTGAAAAAGAAACCTAATCTAACCCTCAGCTTTTTAAACAGATTAATGACCTGAAGTTTAAAAGTAAGACGATCATCAAGCCAGATACCAAGGTATTTATAACAGGTAACCACTTGGAGTACTTGTCCTTGCATAGTAACAATATCCAAAGCAGTTTCTTGAGTCTTTTTAGCTTTAGAAAAGGGCATTACCTTGGTTTTCTCAACATTTAAAAGAAGCTTAAGCTCAGCGAGCTGAGTCTGAATAATGTTAAAAACAGCCTGTAATTTAACAATCGCCTCCTTAATGGAGGGACCTGCACAGTACATCACGGTATCATCCGCATAAAAATGTAAAGTAGCTTCATCCACATTTTCACCTAAACTATTGATATATATGGAGAATAAAAGTGGACCTAAAACAGAACCTTGAGGAACACCATTAGCAATGTTCAACCACTCAGAAGACAGCCCATCAAAGTGAACACATTGGGACCTTTCAGAGAGGTAGTTCACAAACCACCCCACTGCATGGCTGGATATGCCAATACTGACTAGCCTCTGCTTTAAGATGCGATGATCGACGGTGTCAAACGCTTTGGAAAGGTCAATAAACAGAGCTGCACAACTCTGCTTTTTATCTAAAATACTTGTAATGTCATTCACCACTTTCATTGTGGCAGTGATGGTGCTATGTTGCTTTCTGAAGCCTGACTGATGTTTAGACAGGATATTATTTTCACATAAAAACTCCTTTACCTGTTCACTCACTAGGCGTTCAAGAACCTTAGCCAGAACTGACAATTTAGAGATTGGCCTATAGTTATTTAAAATAGTTGCCTCCCCTCCTTTTAGTAGTGGCAGGACATAAGCTGACTTCCATACTTTTGGAATTGTGTTTGTGCTGAGGGAGAGGTTAAAAAGAGTAGTGAGAGGTGGAGCAATAAAATCTGCAGCTATCTTTAAAAAGAAAGGTTCTACGTTGTCCGGGCCAGCCGGTTTCTTAGGATCTAACTTAGATAATGCTTCATGAACAACATTAACAGTAAAAGGAGTAAAACTGAAAGGGTTTTCCAGACCACATTGTTCAGAGTCACCGACTGTGGTGTTCACAGAAGCAGAGTTAGTCACAGAATCAAACAGAGAGCCACAGGACACAAAATGCTCATTAAAACAATTTAGCATAGTAGCCCTGTCCGATATAGAGCCAGATGTTGTGATGCACGGAGGTAGCTCATTACGGATCTCACCGGTGGATATCGATTTTATGGCTTTCCAAAATTTCCTAGGATTATTTAGGTTTTCTGTAGTAACTGACAAATAGTACTTCGACTTAGCACTTTTGACATGTGAAGTGAAGCTATTCCTTAGCTGCCTAAAACGCAGCCATTCTACCTCTGAGCCTGATTTCCTAGCCTTTGCCCAGGCCTTGTTTCTCTCATGCAGGAGACTGGACAGTTCAGCAGAAAACCAAGGATTGTCTTGTCCCTTTACTCTAAATTTACGTAGGGGTGCATGTCTATCAATGATCTCCATAAAACCAAGATAAAAACAAGACCATGCAGTGGCTACAGCACAGTGGTCACTCACATCCTTTGCAAATACTCCCACAGATGAGTATTTATAGGGAACATTAGTTAGAATGAGATCAATTAGGGAGGATTTATTAGGGGACTTAACGTTAGGGCGAGTAGGACTGTCAACAATCTGAGTAACATTTAAAGAGATACAAAGGTTTTTTAAATCCTCTGATACTGCAGTTAACCAGTCCCAGTTAAAATCACCAAGTAGCACTATTTCCTTATAGTCTAGTTGCGATAAAAGTTTTGCTAGTGAAGGCAAGGAGTCCTTGACAGCTGAGGGGGGTCTGTAACACCCCACCACCATGACTTGTTGCCCCTTTGCCACTTCTATATTTAAGGCTAAAAATTCGAATTGCTTACTGACAGATTTGGAAACCAATGTGGTTACACTGAACTTATTCTTAACATAAATGGCAACTCCACCACCGGTGTTAGGCCGGTCGGTACGATACACATTATAACCATTTAAGGATATGTCAGAGGCCAAAATAGTTTTATTTAGCCATGTTTCAGTATAAACAATTCCTTCATGTTGAGAGTGAGATGGTTTCACAATCACTGTTTAACAGGCCCAGTATCCAGTGGAAGGTGGTTCCCTTTTTCAGGTTTGGAGTTTGAGTTACTTGGAGAGCAAATAAACATAAACTGGACTGAACTGACAACACTGATGCCCTCTACAGGAAGGGACTGAGCAAGCTGCTCCGTGAGAAAGCTCTGGTCTTTCAACACATACAAAAGGCTGCTGCAGATGTTCCACCAGCAGTGTAAAGTAACTAAGTACATTTACTCAAGTTCTGTACTGAAGTACAATTTGGATGGTCTTGTACCAATTGAGTATTTTCATTCTACTCCACTACAATTCAGAGGAAAACCTTTATACTTTACT